AGTTAACTAGTCCATGGATCTGTGTCCTTGTCCTGGATGTGATGTCCTGGACTGTCTCCACCACCAAGTACCAAAGGTAGGTTTTAATAGACACATATTGGAAAAGGATAAAGAAAAATATGAAAACTTTAAATAGGTCCCGAAATAGTGAGGCCAAATAGACGTATTCATTGTGTTCTCTTAAATCATTATAATAAAGAACAAAAAACGCAGTGGACATGTGGCATCCAGCTGCAGATGACAATTTTTTCTATAGGAGCCGGTGAAATCCTCCTTTAATAAGAGTGAGGTCTCCATACACGCTGAACAGACTTCACTTGGCCCTTTGTGTCGGAGAAGCTCACCTGGTCTTTAGAGTGGGGGGCAGAGGGGAGCCAACCGTACCGGCCCGGTGATGGAGACAGCCTTCCTCAGTAACTCATTCTCATTCACACAGATCATTCATGTGCAAATCACTCTCAGGGCCATTGTTCAGCCAGCGCACTGGGTCAGACCTTCCAAATCAAATGGGAAATGTAGCTTCAGCAATGAGATGTTCCATAGGAGAGACGGTCACAATACAGGATCACGGATTATAATCCATTACAAGTACGACAAACATATACTAATAGATACATTCATATTTGTAATTGTTTATGTAAAAAAATGGACTTGAGAACAAAGTGTGTCGCACTACAGACTATTGTACAAATCTGAAAATGACTTTGTATGGTGCAGGTTAGATTCATGTCCAAAATAATACTGATTTACGTCTGCCTCTCACAACATGCATGTTAGAAAGGAACTAGGGCTAAATAGAATATAATATTATTATTAATATAATAATAATAAAATAGGAACGAAATGTCACATCTTAGTTTTGTCTTGTTACAAAAAGAAGGAAGGAGGTATTTTCTAAAATGATTCACTATTATATTGTTGTCAAACAAAGTTGTGGACAAACTGTGTAAATTCATCACACGTGTTCAATGCAGTTTGAATCAGCTTTTTACTGTGTCATTTGTGCATGAACGCAATCTACATTTTATGTACATAATGTATGTATTTTGGAGTAGATTTAATAACATTTGATGTATATTTAGTAGACCCTGACCAGCTTTAGAATTTTCAAAGTTCACTTTGTGTGCCTACCGTATCACTGTGCATAATTCTGCAGTTTCATTTAGAAAATAATTTTTTACTATTATTATTATTATTATTATTGTTATTCATATTACTATTATTATTATTATTATTATTATTATTATTATATTGTAAAACAATGTTTTCCTTCTGGTCAAGTAAAGAAAAGATGAGAGTTTGAAAGATGAATCATTAAAATACTGTATTTTTGGGCCAAGAGCAGCGAGGATAATGCCCAAAAAAGCAATGCTTTATGTATTTGGGTTTGAGAACAGGCCAAAGGTGAGTTAGTTTACTTTCTGACCCTTCTGCATTTGAACATACGTATTTTAGAGTAATGTGAGAACGTAGAAGCACCTGATGTTACTTTAGTAAAAGTGCAGAAAAACGTCACTGCGGAGGATGAAATGTATTTATATATAGAACATGAAAGGGATTTTGTTAAGTTAAATAGCATGCTTGTTTCTGTGTGGGATATTCATTATACTAAATATTCTACTGCATAGCTAAAAAAACTGTAATTAGCCAGAGATGAATTAGTAAAAGTAGTTGCAGGACAAAGACAAAGCAGCATCCTTGGGGACAGCTCTCAATTAGGCTCTTACCTGAATGCACAGTGTTGTTTTATCGTTCAAGGACCAAACCTCTCATTTGTCTCCAAAAATTATATAAATATTTTTCTTCTAAGAACTGGTTTATCAGCGGGAAAGATTGTTTAACTGGTTATAATAGTGCAGACTTCCTCTGAAAATGTCCCAAGCTCTTTCGATCAAAAGCACAGTCTTTTGTCTGTTCTCCACAAACTAGAAGCACCGCCAGAGGCCGAACAGAAGGACGTCATGGAGAACTATTGGTATAAGATCCAAGTGTCCTTTCCTTAAATGATTGGAATATCATGACAAATATCAATATTTTTTAGAGTGAGTATATTAACTTATATTAATTTCTGTGCAACCTCATCATAAAATGTAAATGTAAATAAAAGGCTAATTCAAAATTAGGATCAAGCGTCGCAGCCTCATTAAGGTTTGGTGATGGACATAGATGTTTAATGTTAGTGAACTAGAGTAAACTTTAGACGTTAAGATTACAATGACCTAGAAAAATAATACTAATAAAATAGAAACAAGAATTCTGTGCTGTGCAATAGTATTTTTTTCTCAGTTGTTATATTTCTAATGTCGATAATATAGACCCATATTTTCCTCCGTTAAAATGTATGTTTAATCAACTTAATCCTTTTCAAAACGATCGTGAGTCACTGTTTGGATCCATCTTCAACCTCTTCAAACCTGTGTGGTCTTAAGCTGTGGACCGAGTGAGCAGTTCAATGTCTCTCCCTTTGTTTATTTGATATGTGTTTGAATGGTGCAGTGTGCATTAACGCACAACCGTTGTTGTAACAGGGTCATAACCCAAAAGAATGTGCGTGAAGTAAATTATTAATTAATGTTTTATGAATAATAAAATAGTTTATTATTTTAGGTTCACTTCAGTCTGCTGCTTTGTTGTGGTATTTCAAAATAAAACTTTTGTTTGAGGTCATCACATGACAACATTATATAATGGTGGCGCCACCTGCATGTGACAGCTAGATACGGCCAGAATCTGAAGCTAAGAAGGACAGGGCCTGGTTAGCACTGTGATGGGAGACCTCTGTGAAGTGCCAAACTGTTGTTATGTCCATGGGCACGACACTTCATCCACACTGCCTAAAGTGAGTCTGGGATGTGAGTGAATGGTTAGTGGTGGTCGAAGGGGCTTCTGTCAGCCTGCCCTAGGGCAGCTGGGGCTACAATAGTAGTTAATCATGACCATGTACAGTATGAAGTGAGTTTCCAAAAAGTCCTATATAAAACCAATGCGTTATTATATAGAAATCTGAGCACAGTTTTGTTTGTCTTCATATTTAAAATACACTGTTTGGAAAGTTAGTCATCAACATTGTGACATGCTTCTGTAACCAAACCCAAATGTGAAGAAAATTATGAATGTTTGGGAGCAGAACCATGTTTGCCCTTTACAAGCAGCACCAGTGAAATTATTCTGTGAGAAATAGAAGCTGGATTGCTTTCCAGTTACGATGCATCAAATCACAATCACACTGTGCAGAGACCAAAGAATAGAAAAGTGCAGAAAAAGTCACTCTGTACAATTTACACTTTGATTCAGACTGTTGAATGAATATATAGCAATGATTTTTTTTCTTATTCCTTTTCCCCAGAGATTCTTATAGTGCAAATTATCAGATACTCCTACACTGCATACCAAACAGCAGCGAAGGCCAAGTAGAAAAAGCCCCACCGAATTCTGCACAATAAAAAAAACTATGTAATCGTCACAGCCTTCTATCTCACTTCATGTCGATATCTCTCTGGAAAGTATAGAACCTAAACGGACAATATTGCTCACATAATTCAACTTTGGCTTGAAAGCAAATGTTGGCAGTGCAGTGAATTTGAATATTATTATTTTTCCCTGTCATAACATACAAGGACAATTTTATATGCCGAACCACGATACCTTGACATCTGAACAAAACCTTGACTTTATTCACTTTTGTAAAAAGAAATCATACAACCACATGTGTTTTGTTCCCCTTTTACAGCGCGTTGTACACTACTACGTGCTGTCTGCATAATGAAGCATTAGCATATGAATGCTAAATGACTGAGATTTTGACTTCACCACTACAAATGAGAAGAAAATATAAATGCTAATGTAGGATACCATCACCTTTTAACCGATCGTAATAAAATAAGAAAAATGCTTGTGAGTCAAGGACGTCAGATACATATCAGCACCTTTGTCTTTGTAGTGGAGACGGAGGCGCCCTGTTATTGTGTACACATTAGTACAATCTAACGCCACTTCCACTATGAGCTGTGTGTCTCTCACAAGTGTCTGTTGACATGCTCCTTAACATGAATATTATGTGAGGAAGCTTTTTAACAAACTCCAAATGATTCTGCCTCAGTTCCCTTTTCTCTGCTGGGTCAGGGCTGTCTGCAGCCATTATTGGAAATGAATGTGGAGTCCTACTCTAAAAGGTTCGTGCATGTAGTCACCTAAAGCTGACTAATGGAATCCCACAACACTGGGTGCCAGAGGCTTTTTACCACATGCCAGAGCCACACATTTGAACATTCACAGTAGCGCAGACATCATGACCTCTTTGTAAATGTAAACTTGGAAATGTAACCTCCCACACAGCAGCACACAGCTATAAATAGAGCAGAACAGGAGGAGGTAAGGGTCCCCATTGTGCACTGTGTGCTGCCCTGCTTCATTTGCACTGTTCAATTTAGACCTGGCTTCTGTAAAAGTGTCATGTAAGCATAATTATTAAAGAAGCGGCAACTATGCAAATATGAAAGCGCTGGCCCACATGTTGAAAACACAGTTTGTTAGCAGCGCGCCCCAGGAGATGGGCCTCTTCAGGGGGGTCAGAGCTCACCGCAGAGCGCGCAGAGTGGCCATTGTGCTTTGTCGTTTCACAGGTGACTCACATCACTACACTCGAGCAGGCTGGAGGCAGAGCACTCGGAGATGCTTGCAATATTCAAAATGCATGATTTTCAGCCTAGTGCAAACAAATCGCTTTAAAAGATCAGTTTAATCTATTTGGAGCTGTTATTATGAGACAGAGAGTTGTTCAGATAAAGAGATTGAAGCAGGGTTAACATCAGAGTGTTGGACAACTCTTTACCTCATGAGAGCCGTGTCATTTTATTATATCATTTTTGTACATGTTTACAAATGCAGAGCACACATTTGTACAATATTGTCATTGGTTACGCAATAATAATAACAATCAAATTCATTGGAATGTTCTGATACAACTTGAGGCATGTAGGAATATAGCATAATGGAGTACATTAGTGGAAGAAGTCACCAGTTCCAACACTGTTTGTGCTGAAAGGTTGAGGACGTAAGGCTGCTTCGATCTCCGAGTCGCTGTCATCCGATTCTTCCAAGATTGCTGTTACAGAAGAGAAGTGGAAAAAGTCGACATTATCACGACCAAATGTTTACCCTTCCACACGTCATATTAAATGTAACCTTTTCCATCTTCTGCAACGTTTCTTTACACAGCCAATTCTACACCCTCTTTAGAACAGTTTGAAAGGAGAGAAGCTTAGATTACCTTGAGATTCATATCACAATGACAAACTTAACAATCTTGCTTTCCTGCACTTGAGCGTGTTGAATCTACATTTTCAATCGCATATCTTAGGATTTAAGATTTGATGAGATATGTGCCCAACACCAAAGTGACAACAAAAGTGAACAGATCTGCTCCTCTTTGTATTCATTTCCTCATTTGTATTCTTGAATAAATGTTGGACCATCATCCCTTTCCTATACGGCTTAAATGTACACTTCAAACCTGTCTGTTCCGTCATTTATTTCCTGAGCAAAGCAAAGGTGCTAAGAGCGTACATAGTATGCTTTCACTAACCTGAATTTAGCTTCAAGGTAATTTTCCATTAGCAAATACTTCAGACGCATTATTGCATTTACAGAGAAATATAATCAAACAGTCGGTGCTTGATTGAAATAAAAAGAAATGTACAATTAGACCCACGTTCACACACACACACCTCGTTCTCCTAATCTGCTCGGTGTAATTAACCTTGTTTTGACATCGTCTTTTGTGATCGACTCTAGCAACTTTGTCTATACTCACCTTTTGACTGAAGAGCAGAATGAGCCTTTGAGTTCGCTCCCCGAGCTCTGGAAACAAAAACACACAAAAAAAAGAAATATATTCCTGCGGATTATTGCAATAGACCGTCTTTATTAAAATCATGTTAAACTAAAAATAGCTTAATTGGAAAGGTAAAGCGTGAAGGAATATAAAGAATGAACTTTTTGAACTTGCGTTTATTTTGTTTTATCAACTCGCAGAAATAAATAAATTGTAGACTTCTAACTTATTTTTTTCTTTTCAAATCAATGGACTAGACGTGGAGAGGGGGGGTGCCATTTGTGACTCTCGTTTAAAAGAGGGGGGGCCAAAGGATTTCAACAACGCCCTCTTTATTGTAAAATTAGCCAGAAACACAGGTTGCCAGGTTCCCATAACTTCAGTGATAGAGCCGTGTTAAAGTGTGACCTCCAAAAAGGCTTTGATGTAGCTCAATGCATATGCAATAGACCCCCCCCCCCCCCGCCCCTCCCTGGTTCCACTGTTAAAGGGCTCCTCTTTCATTTACATCCTCACAGAGCTTGTTGAAAGGTGCACAATATATCCTCATCGTCGCCCAGGTTAGCATACATAATTCTATATGGCTTTTTTGTCTGGATCTTTTAAGCTGCAAGAACTGATTAGCCCGTGCATGTGAGCTCAGCGCAACCGCAGAAAATCGACAACACCCAGACTTCAATCGAGACCATCCACTCGTTCGCCCTGCGCCTGTGACGACGACAATGAGGGGGTCAGTGTGGCGAGAGGTGTGGGGTCGGAGAGTGTTTGGGCCTGGGTCTGGAGTTTTTGTGCTACACTTGTGTATTTTTGCACAATCTGAGTGATTCTATCCATGACAAATGTAACATGTACATTTATCCATTGTGATTTCATTAAAGTTTATCTAATCTTACTACTGCTACCACCATTACCAACAATAGTACTAGACCTAGACTTCAATCGAGACCATCCACTCGTTCGCGACTGTGACAATGAGGTGGTCAGCGTGGTGAGAGGTGTGGGGTCAGAGAGTGTTTGGGCCTGGGTCTTGAGTTTTTTTATGTATTGTGTACTACTACTACTACTACTACTACTACTACTACTACTACTACTACTACTACTACTACTACTACTACTACTACTACTACTACTACTACTACTACTACTACTACTACTACTACTACTACTACTACTACTACTACTACTACTACTACTACTAGGCAAGGCAAGGCAAGGCATGTTTATTTGTATAGCACAATTCATACACAAGGCAACTCAAAGTGCTGAACAAGATAGCATTAAAATCATAAATAATCACAGAACATTAAAAAGAAAGATAAAAATATAAAATCCCTCAGTTGTATGCACAGCTAAACAGCACAGTTTTTAACTTGGTTTTAAACATAGTCAGAGAGGAGGCCTGTCTCACATCTTCAGGAAGAATGTTCCAGATTTTAGCAGCATGAATCTGAAAAAGCAGCCTCCCCATGTTTAGTTCTGACTCTGGGCACTAACAGGAGTCCAGTCCCTGTGCTCCTCAGAGTCCGGGCTGGTTCATATGGGACTAACATGTCACTAATATATTTTGGTGCGAGGCCATGGAGAGACTTGTACACAAGCAAAGCTGTTTTAAAGTCTATTCTCTGAGCCACAGGAAGCCAGTGCAGAGACCTGAGGACCGGACTAATATGGTCGTACTTCCTGGTTCTAGTCAGGACTCGAGCTGCTGCATTTTGAATGTACTGCAGCTGTTTTACAGCCTGTTTGGACAGACCTGTGAGCAGGCCATTGCAGTAGTCTAACCTACTGGAGACAAATGCATGGATAAGAATCTCCAAGTCTGCTTTAGACACTATGTTTTTGATCCTGGAAATGTTTTTTAGATGGTAAAAAGCTGCTGATGTTACTGATTTGATGTGGCTATTAAAATTTAAGTCTGAGTCCAGTATTACCCCTAGATTTCTGACCTTGTTTGAAGGTTTTAGGGAGAGAGACTGTAGATGACAGATGACGCTCTCTCTTTGTTTCTGGGGACCAAAGACAATCATTTCAGTTTTGTCTGCGTTTAGCTGAAGGAAGTTGTTTTGCATCCACTCACTGATCTGTTGGATACAGTGAAGGAGTGAGTCCACTGGTCCATGTTCTCCTGCAGTCAGTGAGACATAGATCTGAGTGTCGTCTGCATAGTTATGATAGGAAACTTCGTTTCTGCGTATTAACTGACCTAACGGCAGCATGTAGAGATTGAAAAGAAGAGGTCCCAGGATCGACCCCTGTGGTACTCCACAGGTCAGGGCCATATGATCTGAGACACAGTTTCCAATCTCCACAAAGTACTTCCTGTCTTCAAGGTAAGACCTAAACCAACTTAGGGCGGTGCCAGCGACGCCAACCCAGTTCTCTAGTCTCTGTAAGAGGATCTCATGGTCGACAGTGTCAAAGGCAGCACTCAGATCTAACAGGATTAGGATTGAGACTTTGCCTGCGTCAGTGTTTAGCCGGATATCGTTTGTAACCTTGACGAGAGCAGTCTCAGTGCTGTGGTGGGGTCTAAAGCCGGACTGAAACATATCAAATGAGTTGTTGATTATAAGAAATCTAGTAAGCTGTAGGTAGACAACTTTTTCAAGGACTTTCCCCATAAATGGCAGATTTGAGATGGGACGATAGTTGTTAAGTACCGTAGCATCGAGGCTGCTCTTTTTTAGCAGGGGCCTGATGACTGCAGTTTTCAGGGCCTTTGGGAATATTCCAGAATGAAGGGACATGTTTACTATCTGTGTGAGTGAAGGTAACAGACTGCTCAGAACAGACTTCAGAAATCTAGTGGGTAGTACATCCAGGCTGCATGTGAAGGAGCTCAAACTAGAGATTATCTCTTGTATAGTTTTATCATTTACAGGTGCAAAGTAAGTTAGCTCAAAGAGCCTTTTAGGCTGTTGGATGGTTATCTGTGGATTGGAGACAATGGCGTTTTTGATGCCTTGAACCTTGTCATTGAAAAAATGTGCAAACTCATTACATTTACGTTTGGAAGTTAGCTCTAATGGCATCTGAACAGGGGGGTTTGTTAATCTATTAACTGTTGAAAACAGAACACGCAGATTGTTGCTGCAGCCTTCAATCATTTCAGAAAAATACCTTTCTCTCGTACTACGTAGCACCTGGTTAAACTCGCACAACTTATCTTTGAAGATCTCGTAGTCAACCTGGAGGTTAGACTTGCGCCACTTCCGCTCGGCCCTCCGGCACTCTCTCTTTTGTGCCCTGACCGAGTCTGCTTTAGCCCACGGCGCCTTCTGCTTATTTTTCACTGTTTTAACCTTCACAGGAGCGATGGTGTCCAGAACATTCAAAACACTAGAGGTGACAAGAGTTAAACAGTTCATCTACAGTAGAATACGATGCATTCTCAAAGTTTATCATTCCCATAAATATTTCACCCGTATTTTCATTTATGTGTCTTCTTCGTACAGTTGCAGAGTCCACTGGTGGTTTGTTAGTGAAACACATGTCAAAAAATACACAAAAATGATCCGAAAGCGCAACATCGACCACGTTTACATTTGAAATATTCACCCCCTTAGTAACTAACAGGTTGTTGTATATTTTAATATTTGACCATTTGAACATCATAGCCAGAAAGACCTCTGTGCACTCAGGAAAAACCCCAAGGACACAGGATAATCAGACATGAGTCATAAAGATAAAATGCTGTTTAAACAGGGCGAATTATTAACTTTAAATAATAAACATTTTGACGAGGACAAGAGTTCAGAACCTGAATCTTGAGGCAGACTGGGAGATTCACCAACTGCATTCTGACGCCTCCCAGTGGACAAGGGACGTCAGCACACCCGGAAACTCCACCCCTTGGACGCATAAGGATGACGTCATCGGAAGTCTCCCTCATGAGCCCCTGTGTGTTTTTTTTGAGGTCAGACAGGACAGGGCACGGACAGGGGAAGAGCAGGCCTAGAATAGGAGCACTTTTGTTGAACATTCTGTATCTGATTGTAAAGATAATTAAATGCAGATGTTAAACGTGAAGATCTCTTGTCTCGCTCTTGCATCGACTTTGGATACGTCAGTCAAAGGGAATTATTGACTTCATTTTGGTGAATCCCGACGTGATCGGGGCAGGAGCGGGACAGAGATGAGCTCAGTTATAGAGACTGGATTTGTGGGTTTGGAAAAATCTCTCTGCTCTTCAAAAAGGTCGCTTCTAAGGTAAGCGGATCACAGTTTTGGAAATCTGCACATTGTTTTAAATAGAAGAGAGAGAGATTTTGGCTCGACAGATTGCAGCGTGGCCAGACGAGACCGCCGTGACGGGGCGTTCTATCGGACGCGATAGAACAATAGTCAGGTTTAGACGTTTTAACCTTGGGGGAAGCATGGGTCCCTCCAAAGAAAACAGAACAGATGATGAAAAGAGCCACAGGATTTAGAAGTGCAAAAGAGGCACACCGTTTTAAGGTGCAAAAGAGGCACAAGAGTTTAGATAAATAGGATTAGAGAGATAGGGGCAGTTAGGGTCAGAAGTGATAGGATAATAAAAACTCCATATCCCCCGGGGGGCGGAAAAAAGGGTACATTTAAACAGAAAAAAGCCAAGTATTTAAAATGTGGATTCTGATAATAATGATCTGATTAATGAGAAAAAAGGGAGCCACTTGGCTGTAACTATGAGTTTTCATGTGAAGAAATGACAAAAGATCAGTCTGGGAGTTTTTCTCTTGTATTGGGATGTAATGTTTCGACAGTTACAGAGAATCAGGGAAAAAAAAAAAAAAAAAGATTCTGCTGGAACTCTCGATACATTAATCATGTAGCAAATGGTAATGTTTTCCATTACTGACGTATTTAAGGATAAAATGTAAAGTGTCGTTTGACGTGAGAAAAACTTTTACCACTGATTAAGACCATATCACGATAAAAACGAGGAAAATGTAGCAAAGAAGGGGTGTATTTCAATCATCCATGTGTTCCTTTGTTCGAGTAGCCCCTCCCCTCCCTCGTTCTGTCTTCTCTCTCTCTCTCTCTC